TTAAAGAACCAATAATGGTAATGAGGTTATACCACTCCAAACTGATACACTTTATGGCCCAAAGGATGTGGACCCCCCCCCCCCTCCAAATGATGGAGTTCCGGTTGTTTCCAGTGCAGAGTATTGTTAATATTACAACATACAAAGACATTGTGGACAATTGTGCTCTTCCAACCTTGTGGTCACAGTTTGGTGAAGACCCTTTTATGTTCCTCCATGACTGTTCCCTGTGTACAAAGTCAGCTCCATAAAGACATGGTACCACCCTCCACTGTCTGGCTGCTATTACATTCCCACCAGTTCATAGTTACCTATAGCAACTACACATTTCTTTGCTGAGTTAACCCTTCGTGATGACATTCTGTTCCTTCATCTTACAGGCCCTATTCTTCTAAATACGTCCCACCCCCATACACCCCTTTGTAGTAATTTCAGAGAGAGAGTCCTGGTCCAGGTGAACTCCCCTAGAGGGTGCTTTGCCAGTTGCAAGTGGTTACATCTTTCAGGGTGAGCCTGTTGATCTTCTTCCCATGTAGGCACGGCAGCAAAAAAAAACCCTAAGCAGAGCCTTCCCCCTTTTCATTAGCTGCACAGGGTGGAGGGCATAGCCCAAAAAAGCCCAGGAAAGTGCAGAACCTGGCTTAACCCCTATCCCACCCTGACAACCTGGAGTACCTAACACAGCAGCAGCAACTGTAAGCACCTACTTACAAGTATGTAAAGCCCCCACAAAATGATGGAGTTCAGATGTTCCCAGGGAAGGTAATAATAATACAACAGCATTCCAACCTGGTGGTAATGATTTGATGAAAACCCTTCTCTGTCCCAGCATGACTGTGCTCCTGTGTACAAACCAGCTCCATAAAGACATGATCTGACCAGTTTGGTGTGGAGGAACTCCAGTGTCCTGCACAGAGCCCTGACCTTCACCCTACTGAATTCTGATTGTGATCCAGGTCTTCTCATCCAACATCAGATCTTATCTTGGAGGTTCATGAAATTTACCAATAATGGTAATAGGGTCATACCACTCCAACCTGAAACACTATATGGCCCAAAGGAGTTTGACCCCCTGCCTCCAAATGATGGAGTTCAGGTTGTTTTGAGTGCAGCGTATTGTTAATACTACATCATACAAAGACATGTGTGCTCTTCCAACCTTGTGGTAACAGTTTGGAGAAGACCCTTTCCTATTCCCCAATGACTGTCCCCTATGTACTAAGCCAGCTCCATAAAGACATGGTTTGGTCAGTTTGATGAGGAGGAATTTGTGTGTCCTGCGCAGAATCTTTAACTTTACATTTGGAAGACCTTTGGTATAAGGTCTTCTCATCCAACATCAGTACCTGTTCTTAACCCTATGGAACATCTTTGGTATGAGGTCATCTCAAAGGTGTTCATTAGGTCTGAGGTCATAGAGAAATTTGAGAGTCCTGTACAGAGCCCTAAACCAGGGGCAGGCTGACAACTCATGGGGCCCCTGGGCAATAGGGGATCATGGGGCCCCTGTGTCCTTGCCCAAACTCAAAAAAGCCTATGAAAAAGGTACCAGGGGCATCTCATAGGGCCCCCTACTGACCCTGGGCCCTCGGGCAGTGCCGAGTTTCCAAATGGTCAGTCCACCCCTGCCCTAAACTAAACCCTACAGAACACCTTTGGTATGAGGTCATCTGAAAGGTGTTCATTAGGTTTGAGGTCATAGAGAAACTCAAGAGTCCTGCACAGAGCCCTAAACTCAACCCTACGGAACACCTTTGGTATGAGGTCATCTCAAAGGTGTTCATTAGGTTTGAAGTCATAGAGAAACTCAAGAGTCCTGTACAGAGCCCTAAACTCAACCCTACAGAACAACTTTGGTATGAGGTCATCTCAAAGGTGTTCATTAGGTTTGAGGTCATAGAGAAACTCAAGAGTCCTGCACAGAGCCCTAAACTCAACATTACAGAACACCTTTGGTATGAGGTCATCTCAAAGGTATTCATTAGGTTTGAAGTCATAGAGAAACTCAAGAGTCCTGCACAGAGCCCTAAACTCAACCCTACAGAACAACTTTGGTATGAGGTCATCTCAAAGGTGTTCATTAGGTTTGAGGTCATAGAGAAACTCAAGAGTCCTGCACAGAGCCCTAAACTCAACCCTACTGAGCATCTTTGGGATGACTTGGAAAGTTGGCTGTGAGCCATGTCTTCTAATCCAACATTGATACCTGACCTGACAAATCGGCGCTCATTCTGTCACTTGTCGTCTTTGATGTAATGAACCTGATTGTGATGCAAATATTCTTCCTCTTCCATGTTTTTTCTTTGTAAACCTTGGAAGTTGTATTTAAATTTGGGGGATTATTTATTAAGGCGTACCTTGTTTAGACCGGGTTTAATTAAGCCAAACTGCATTTGTAAGATAAATGATAAAGCTTCTTTAATCTTTCTTTTTAATTTTCAAGTGGTGAACGCAGATATATATTTCCAGCTTGGGATGTCAATAAGAATTTCTGTTTGCCTTTCATCCTTTAGAAACAAACAAACAAACAACACAAAAGGGATCAATGTAGAAAGAAAGGAACATTAATAACTTAATGTAGAGACTGTTCACAGACGGGATACAAGTGTTAATACAAGCTTCATTGATACGTAACCTGGCATACAATGAACTCTGGGAAGATCTGTTTGATGCCTTTTCTTATCTTCACTTCTTGAATTTCGGGAAGAAAAAGACCGACAAGAGACAGAGTTTATCGTTAATGCTGTTATGATCAAAGAGACAAAGATTGGAATGGATTAGAGCTTATCTATACGACTTTAAGATCTAATGGTTACAAAAATAGTGTGTTGTTTCCCCGTAGACAATGTTTGCTCACGATAATTCTATTGGTTCTATGGGTCTTGTGACTCGGGTGTTGATTATTAAAGAAGAGTGGAACGTTGGCTTTCAACAACCGAAAATGGCATTGGCTGTTCTTAGTGGGAGTCTTCGGGGCAGATATGGTGGTACAAATAGTATTTATCAGGGGTCTCCAAACTGTCTAAACAAAGGGCCAGTTTACTGCCTCTAAGAATTTAGGGGGGATGTCTTGCCATGTCTGCTGGGGGCACTGGACCAAGAACTGTTCCAACCTGGAGTGTATATTGTAATGGAACCGGACCCCAACTGCACTAGGGTATTTCCGTTAGAGTACCGCTTCCCCGTCCAAACACCGACCACAGACACCACAGCAGACCATACAAGACTAGACGGCACCAGTCGTGAAGTAAACCAGGAAATAGACTACTTTATTTTAACACAAGACACAAGATATATACACTCAAGGGAACAACCCCCCCTCCCTGTATAATGACACAGGGCGGGGCAATCCACATTTAGTAACAAGAGACACATCAGCAGACAGTCCCATCAGGAGGGAGGGCTGCTGGAGACACCCCCCACTAAGCTAATACACACAAACACATACATCCCATAATAGTTTGCTCCCAAGCAAGACACACCATAGAACAATGGGATGCAACCACATGGCATTAAACAATCAACAACCCCCACCCCAATATTAGGACAGATCACCCTGTACCCCTAACAGGCACAGGGTGACTTACACAAAAGAGGGATATGGAGAGCTGAGACAGGGGTTTCCTCACCTATCCAAAGTGAGCTGTGTTCCATGGGCCCCCCACACAAAGTGACTTCCGTCAGATATATTATGGTATCTAGACTTTTATATCTGGCTAGGAAGTTGATTGCACAGTACTGGTCATCGTCGACCCCACCGATTAGTAAACAATGGACAGATTACGTACTGACATCACAATGCTTGTCGCAAATTTCAGCAGGTGTGGTGGGGCTGGCTAGATACTCCTGGTCTTGCCCCTCCTCAGTCAATAGCGGACTGGCTCTTGAAGGTGTGACGTTTTATATCAGACGTGCAGCTCCACTTATCCCCCCTTGGAGGAAATCATGTGTATCCACAGTTTTCTCTGACGGGATGTCTCGGGTGAACCAGTTGTTTTTTCACAATGTTTTTTTTTAATGATTTTGTTCCTTTTCCCCATTTATATATACATCTAGATGGGGAGGAATAAAAGATCAAAGGAAAAAGTTATGTATTGTCAAGATAGCCTTGGACCCATGTGTTCCCTGCTACGATTGGTCAAAGCTTCAGTTATTTTGTATGTTACAGGATCTACGTATCCACATTATTCTATCTATGTATCATTCTGCCGGGTGCAGTAATATTATTGAAGATTCTGTAAACTCTGTTTCCATTTTTGTTCATTGTCCTGACAATAAAAGTTGTTTGGATTTAAAAAAAAAAAGAAATGTTATCAGTGAAAAGAATATTTGTGAAAAGGACAATGCCCCATGGAGGGGAAGAACCAAGAAAGGTATACATTGGACCGATGGTGTTGCTGGGAGGAAAAAGTACCTTATATCAGTGGGAGAAATAGTGTCCCAAGGATTGGATAAAGGCAAGCATAGGGTTGCATTTGGCCAGCATTTTGGAGACCACTGGTATTTATCATCCATGTAATATACTACCATGTAAAAGGAAAGATCCCCGACCCTAGGTAAGGTTCATATTGGCGTCCAGGGGTCACTAAAAACAAGGGGTTGAGCTGCATTTTTACCTCCCTGACTGCCCGTCTACAAATTTATATGGTGGCCAGAGGGGTGATTTCACATTTCCCCAGATGCAATCTAATGTTAACTCAGCATGTTGGCACAGCCTGCAATGCTTTCCCATTCAAGGCGAAGGGATCAGGAGTTTTGTGTTAAATTCCCTTTGGGGGAGAGCAAGAATCCTGATAGGGATAGATAAAAATAAAAAAACAGGCATGCATTAGGCAAATGCTAAATGCTTGGGAACCAGCAGTCTGACTGGGGAGATGGGTGCCCTCTGGTGGTCGGAGGGTGGCAGTGCAGGTTGTGCTGGCTCGCTCTGACCACTGCCAACCACCCGTGTCATATATCTTGGTTGGAGGCCAAGCTCACAAGAGGGCTTCACTTGTGACCAGGGGTGGACTGACCATTTGGAAACTCGGGCACTGCCCAAGGGCCCAGGGTCAGTAGGGGGTCCCATGAGATGCCCCTGGTACCTTTTCATAGGCTTTTTTGAGTTTGGGCAAGGACACAGGGGCCCCATGATCCCCTATTGCCCAGGGGCCCCATGAGTTGTCAGTCCGCCCCTTCTTGCGACACTGGTCTGAGCACTCTTAAAGGTGATGACAGAGGTACAAGGCTCAAAGAAGCACGGGTGCCGGTAGCTTGGTAGCAGGTGACTGCCAGGGATAGGGACATCCTCAGGGTTAGCCAGGGTCATACACAATGAGGCTGAAGTGCGGTCAGGTAGCTGGCTGAGGTCATTACAAGGGAAGCAGGCAGAGTGAGGTCCAGTAGTAGGATGGAGTCAGCACCAGAGAAGCAGGCAATGAGCAGTCAGAGGCAAGCCAAGGTCGGTATCCAAAATCCACAGAGCAAGGTCAGGAACTAGCCGGGTCAGCAAAGGGAGGTCAGTCAACATCAGGAGGAACACAGGAACAGGTCAGGGGGAAGCTGAAGAACAACAAGTGATTAGCACCCACCAGGGTTTCCTTTAAATAGACAGCTTGGCACCTATGTGCCGTAGACGTGCGCGCCGATGCACGATGACATTAGCATGAGCTGTGGCTGTTCGAGTATTGGTTCCTTGACACCTAGCTGCATGGCCCCGACCCCAGCAGGCCCCCTGGGGGGGGGGGACTAAAAAAAAGGCATCTAACTGTACGTAATGAAAATGGAAAACTTTTGGTGGAGATTCATTAGTGTTTGATGAAAAAAAAGCAGAAACCATGGAAAGCCAAACGTAAGCAGATTAAACTTCAGCTTTAATTCATTGCTACAGAATCAGTCAGAAATGATTGGAATGGAAGTAGAAAGCAATTGATAATATGGAAATGTCATTAGAATATTGAAACAATGGTTTCAGCATATGATTGGATCAATACAGGCATGGCCGGCATGACTCCATCACCGTCATAGATGAGAGCCACGGCTGGGCTGAAGAATATTCTCCTTCTGCTGGATGGGAAGGACGTGTAATGGAATCCCATCAGGCCATCCAGCAACATTGTATCTTGACCAGTTCTTACTCGGCAGGAACACATTATAAAAAGCGTTGCTTGGGCACACATTGATTCAAAACGGTATTCTCTCTGCCTAAAGCCATCACGTCGGTTTTGCCGATTTTTCATAAGACCGACTCACAAGCACAAATCTTACAAAATAGTTTTTTTTTTCTTTTCCCTTTCAATGAAATCTCCCAATGTTCACCTACCGTATCACACACCACTAAGTGCGTTCGCCCTCTTTCGCTACTTTATAGCCAATTTGCATTCCAATTGTCGTAATATTTTCCAGTGTATTTAAGCTTTCCACGGCCCATTGATTAGTGCATACATTTACATACAATATATTACTTTGTTATTCTTTGAAATTAAAGCAGCAGTGTCTGTCAGGAAAATATTCATTGTATGTTTTTACTAGTTGTCTCCTTACTTCGGCGGCATGGCGTCCTGAGGTTCTGAGGTGGTCCGGAGGCCTATATACCCAGCATTTCTTCACAATTACATAGACAGTTATACAATTGGCTTGAGGCTATCTATCATCTAGGAGAGCCTTAGCACAGATTATCATCCTATCCCAGAAGGTGTACTCAGGGGTGTATTTACCATGAGGCAAACAAGGCGTTTGCCTAGGGCAGCATTTTTCAGGGCGGCAGCGCAGCCCCCTGGAAGAAAGGCCGGAGGAAGGGACACACATGACATTATTTATTTAATTTATTTCAGGTACTTATATAGCGCCATCAATGTACGCAGCGCTTTTACATATATATTGTACATTCACATCAGTCCCCGCCCCCGAGGAGCGTACAATCTAAGGTCCCTAACTCACATTCATACATACACATACTAGGGCCAATTTAGACAGAATCCAATTAACCTACCAGGTGGGATCTGAGAGAGGTCGTGGGCTGCTTGACAGTGTATACAGAGCCCGACTCTCATTCCCAGGGATGTCCAGAGCTATAAAGGTGGGTGTCTTTCTCTCTCCCACCGGAGGAGAGGGTGGTGGTGGCAAGTGTATGGGGGGGGTGGTAGCGGTGGCTCTCTGGGTTGGGAGGGGAGTGGGTGGTGGTGTTGGTTGTTGTCAGCCTCTCTCCGCGTTGGGGGTTAGGGTGCAGTTGGTCAGTCTCAGTCTCTTTCTCTGTGGGGCATGGTTGGTAGGTGTTGGTTGGTGTCAGGCTCTCTTTACATCGGGTGTATGGGAGGGCAGTGGTAGCGGAAGGCTCTTTCAGCTGGGAGGAGGGTGGGTGGCGGTGTTGGTCATTGTCAGTCTCTCTCCGTTGCAGGGGTGTAGGGTGTAGTTGGTCCGTGTCAGTCTTTTTCTGGGGGGGGGGGGGGGGCGTGGTTGGTTGATGTCTGGTTATGCTGCCTATAACAGCACAAAACCTAAATACACCACTGGGTGGTACCATTAGGCCATTTGGTCAATTTTGGGGGGCTTATCCAGGGCCGTGGATTCTTTAATGAACATTTAAGTGAGACCTTTATATACACATATTGGCCTCTTAGAGTTAACCAAGGTGTATATTATCAGGGAAACAGTCAGTGGCCTTACTATGTTCATCTAATGGGCAGGCATTGCCATAGGGCTTGTGGTCAACTCTTCCACCGTTGTTGGGATCTCCTCATCGATTGGCCTCTCATGGTGTTATTGGGTGTCTTCCTCCATTGTCTACGTGCAGATAAATCTTCCTATAGCTCCTGAAGAAGCTATATCATCCTGAAACATGTTGAGCCCAGGGGCTAACTGACAACTCAAGGGGCCCCCCGGGCAATAGGAACTCATGGGGCCTCTGTGTCCTCGCCAACACTCAAACCACACCCAACAAATTCTGTGAAAAGTATCAAGAGCATCTCATGGGGCCCCCTACTGACCCCAGGCCCTCGGGCAGTGCCCGAGTTCTGGAATGGCCAGTCCTCCCTTGGTTGAGCCATTACCATCACCATACAAAGAGTACCCCCTGTAGTTATTGCCGAGATGTGCATATACCTATAAGATGGTGGGGTTCACCAATAGTATGTGAATCTGCAGTGATTGTTCCTTATGTTAGAGGGTTTAACTTATCATTCTGTAATAATTTTATATACTATATGTATGTATATGTTCAATAGAGTGTTGTATTTTATGAATTATTATTGTAGTGCGTATAGGATCCATGAGTTTCCTCCTATTTACACTTAGTCAATATTAGGATGAGGAACTTTATTTTTTTTTTTTTTTTAATTTAAATATTTATTAAATTTTTCATATATTAATACAAAAGTCCCAAAACAGGGCAAAAAAAAAAAAATTCTCAATACAAATAAACATTTATAACATTTCTATCTTTCCCTTATTAAAAAAACTCTTTTCTTTCCCATCCCACTATCTCCCCTTCCCGCCCCTCATCCCCCCTCTTCCCTCTGCAGACTCCAATCCATTCTGATCTAATAAGGCTTATCCATTTTATTGTTAACCTCTTAGTTTATATTTTCTTATATTTCTCCTTCAATCTTGCTCTTTCCACTTTTCCCATCTCCTAGAATACACTCCCATCCTATCTTCATGCATATGGTATGATTTTTCCATTCTACCAATCTGGTTCACTCTGTTAATCCAGTCTTCCTCCTTCGGTACCTCGGCTCTTCTCCAAAACTTGGGTATCAGCCCTTTCGCTGCATTCAAGAAGTACCAAATACCTGAATCTTTATGTTTATTTACAGATGTCTCTACCTTGTGTAGGAGGCAACGTCGTTGGGTCTAACCCTATGTCAATTTCGGTTATTTCCTCAATCAGTTTAACTATTATCTTCCAAAAGGCCTGAATTTTCGGACATTCCCACCATATGTGAAACACCGTGCCAATCTCTCCACATCCTCTCCAACACTTATTTGAGTTTTCCCCATTCATCTTATGCTCTACACTCGGTGTAATGTGCCATCGTGTCATACACTTGTAATTAACCTCAACCTCTCTCATACTAACATTATCGTGTATCAATCTAAACATCTTTCTCTGTCTATCTTCGTCAAACTCAACTCCCATGTCCCTTTCCCATTTTGTAATAAAAGTTGACTTTGTGTTTGTGTCTAATTCTGTGAGTATTCTATACACTTTTGAAATACCGTGTTTCCCATCACCTCGTGTCCCCAACAACCTTTCAAACATATTCCACTCCTGTTTTATTCTCAGGGGTTTCGGTAGATTTCCAATAAAACATTTCAATTGATGATACTTCCACTCATCTATTCTAATAAAAATATCTCCCTTCTTCTCTATTAAATCTTTAAGTGATCTCAGTTCCCCTTCCACCAAGACATCACTCAGTTGGGTGTCCTCCTTTCTAAACCATCTCCCTGATATCTTATTCTTTCCCGGGGGGAAATACTCAGTATTTGTGAGAGGCATTAATATATGAATTGAATTCCCATTTCATGTTTTTGTGTAAAGTGTCCCATACCCTAAAAACATTTAATGTGTACATACTTGTGCTTTCTTTAATTCCCCTAAACTGTGTTGGGACCCATATCATCTGACTCAATCTAGTGCCACTAAGATCATTTTCAATTGTTACCCAACTTTTCCCCTTATGGTTAAATGTCCAGTCATATATTCTTGCCAAAACCACTGCTTTATAATATCTCTTGACATCTGGTAGACCCATTCCCCCTTTCTCTTTAGTCCTACTCAATGTTTCATATGCTATTCTGGGTTTCTTATTCCTCCATATATATTTTGTTAACATTCTTTTCATTATCTTAAAGAAGGCCTCTGGAATTTTAATTGGTACCATTTGAAATCTATACAGTATTTTAGGCATAATTACCGTTTTGACTAGGTTTATACGTCCTATCCAGGCTGGGTTTCCTCCTTCTAATCTTTTTAAATCTTCCCTGATCTCATTTATCAAAGAAATATAATTTAATCTATACAAGTTCTTAAGTGAGGCAGTAAGCTTTATTCCTAGATACTTTATCTCTTTTTCTCTCCATATAAAGGGGAATTCTTTTTGTAGTTTTTCTTTTTCATTCTTTGGTATATTAATATTCAGGATCTCTGTTTTCGTTGGATTAATTTTTAAGTTTGAAAGTTCACCGTACTCCTTCAGAATCTTCATTATATTTGGGAGAGTTATTCGAGGATTCCCCACATAGAACAATAAGTCGTCCGCAAAGGCCGCTACTCTATGTTCT